TAAACAGTGGCCCGTTGAGCCCCAGACACCTAGGTGAGTTGGCTGACACTGGTGGGTGTAAATGATTCAGAAATTGTGTGTATGTAAGAGTGTGTGTGTGTGTGTGTGTGTGTGTGAGAGAGAGAGAGAGAGAGAGAGAGAGAGAGAGAGAGACAGAGAGAGAGAGAGAGAGAGACAGAGAGAGAGAGACAGAGAGATAGGAATGGTAATGATGATATTTGGACCTCTTTAGAGTGTGCTGGGGAGATAGCTCGGTGCCTGTGTGCGTCACAGATACCCGGATGGGCCGTGCTGGCTCTGATACCAGGCATGGTGTTGTGTGCCTGTAATCCCAGCACTGGGGAGGCTGAGACAGGAGGATCACTACAAGTCCTTAGCCAGACACTGTACCAAATAAATAAATAAAATACAAATTAAGAGAAACTTTCTTAACAATCCTCATAAGGAAAAGACTTCTAGAATTACTTAGATGCTAAGTAAAAGGCTCAATTTTTAATAGGAGTAACAGAGAAAGAAAAGTTTGGAGTACATCATTTAGTATACATAGCTCGAGTGTGGGATTTATTGCCACTAATTCAATATTGCTTATCATCGTGACGCAGATGGAAGAAAAGGAGATTAGCTAAAACTGGATAATTAAAGTCACCCATGTTATATTCTACAACTCACTCATTAAGCTGGTTAATGTGTCCATCCCAGAATGAATCAACTTTGACTCAGTGATGATGATAATTTTGCAATCATCAAACTCGTACTAACTTTAAACAAGGAGTTTTTTGAAGCCTTTATGGAGATCTCAGTTTTAGCTTATGTTTGGGGAAATAAAATGATCCACGAAATAGAAAACTACCCATCAACAACAGTAAAGCAAAATAGTACGAGAGAAGAATTTCAAAATATATTGAAAGTGTCAAGTCAAAGAGAAATCAGATTTTATGATTCTATTTAAAATAAGTACCATGAGGGCCCGGGGAGATGGCTCAGTAGAATAAGCGCTTCCCTGGCAAGCGCAAGGGTCTGAGTTCAATCCCCGGTTCTGCAAAAAGAAAAAAAAAAGCAGCCCATTTTCTTTTACCAAAAAAAAATAAGTACCATGGACCAGCGAGATAGCTCAGCAGTCTAAATCACCTGCTTAGGCAAGCTTAGGCAGGTGTAGAGGATCATGGTTGGGTCTCGGGCACCACACGCCATGTCAGCCCTGCCCTCAGCGTGGGCTGAGCCAGCTCCCCCACCCCAAAAATAATGATGGCAAGCCTGTAGAGGTAGAAAAGGCATTAGTGACTGACTAGAGCTGGGGTGTGAATAAACATGACTGTAAATGAGCATGAATTTACTCTTACTTGAGGGAAATTTTCTAAACTTAGATTTGATGATACATGCACAGATTCTCTAAGAGCAGACCCTTGGATAATCTCACATATCTGAATCCTATTGTTGGATATTTACTGTGGAGAAAAAAAATAATGCCCAGGAATTATAATGAAAAGGCTTTAAAGACTGAATGGAACTAACATGTACGTGTTCCAACTGCCAAGAGGGAATGCAAATATTATGTACTGCGCACAGGTGCTGATAAACTAGAGAAAAAAAAAGATTTTGAATGTACCTAAGGATTTCCATGTATCTGTGCATAGGCCTAAGAAGTCCTGAGGGAAGGGAGTGGGGAAAGGGGAGAAAAAGAAGGGAGGGCTCTCTTCACTCTAATTGCTCCCTCTGTGCCCACCAGGGATGGGGTCTCGAGAAAGCTGGAGACCTTTATTGTCTCCTGAGGGGAGTCATCCAGCTCCTCCACTCAGGGCTGCAGACACTGTTGGGTCTAGGCTTTTACACCTGACTGTGTGCGTCTGAGAATGAGAAATAGCTTTTCTGGCCTCATACTTTGGCTGTTCAGCCACCAGCCTCTAAGAGCAAGAGAAATGCTTGTGGTAATGTGAGCCTGGGTTTTAGCGCACTGTGATCGTATCTCCCTCCACTCTAGATTCTTCTTTTCTCCCACTCTCACCTCACTGTGTTCACATCTCAGGGATATATGGGCTCCAGGAAGTTAGTAGAATGCAGGAGTGGCTCTGCATGAGTTTGGGTGAGTAATGATTGAATGGGTGCCTGGATATTTTCTTAAACTATTTCCTGATAAATGAAGACTTTAAAATCTTCCACAGGATCGCATACAACTCAGTTGTTGTATAACACTATAATGAAGACTAAATTCTGCACTGAACAGAAAACTCTTAGCATTGGTAATCACGTGTTGCTTTTTTACTAAGTTATATATTATATTTTTCCTTGTGTGTTACTATATAAATGCCAAGTTTCATTTGCTCTGCCCGATGATTGAGAAAGTAGCTTCATGAATCATCTACTTCATTAGGTAATTCAGATTGCTCCTATAGAAAAGTTGAGAAGTAAATGCTTCTGAGAAGCAAAACATTCATATCATAAATGTGTTTTTTAATCAGGGGTGTGTAAGGAAATCATTTCAATACACAGTGTATATAGGTTAGATCTGTTATTGTACAAGTTGTTAACATTTGCATATATATATATATATATATATATATATATATATATAGATAAACACTGTTTTCCCCCTACTCTATTATTTACCTACTAGTCAAGTTTCATTGCTTTGTTGATTTTATGAAGAATGAAGAAAGCAGCTTTGAGAAACTTCTACCTTGAGAGATATTACCAGGCTGCTCAAAATCACCCAACACAATGCTGCAGAGTAAGGCTACATTAAAATTCAAATCGATTATTTAATCTAGGAAGACTTTGAGCAGCATTACATTCATTTTTACAAGAACCAAAATATAATAGTGCACTATATGTAAAGATTTACGGGAAATTTGAAGATCTTTTTCAATATTATTTTGCAACCAAAGAGTGGGGAGAAGATATGACACTGAAGTTCAGATATATCCAATTTGGAGGTTTATTCAGTGTTCTCCATTCCATCTTAACTCAAGGATCACTGTTCCTTAAATTATAAGGAAACATTTGAAAAATAAATATGACAGATGCACAGTCACACACTAATGACTGAAGGAAATAGGCTGAGTCCCATTTAGAAATGGTTTACAGTACATGGGTATCAATAGCTTCCAGTGGGTTCTCTGAGAGTATTCAGCCTTGGTGAGGTTGCTCTTTCATCTTCCAGGACTCACTGTGCCCGAGGATGTGGAATCGCTCTGCAGTGACTCAGTTCCTCCTGATGGGAATCCCGCACACCACTGGGATGGAAAATGTGTTCTTTGTCCTCTTTCTGGCCTTCTACCTGCTCACACTCCTGGGAAACCTGCTCATTCTTCTGGCTATCCTCACCTCCTCCAACCTTCACACCCCCATGTATTTCTTCCTGGGAAACCTGTCAGTGTTGGACATATTTTTCCCTTCAGTGAGTTCTCCCAAAATGATGCTCTACTTAATGGGGCTAAGCCGCACCATCTCTTACCAGGGCTGTGCTTCCCAGCTCTTCTTCTACCACTTCCTGGGCTGCACTGAGTGTTTCCTGTACACTGTGATGGCCTACGACCGCTTTGCTGCCATCTGTCACCCTTTGCGGTACACTGTGATCATGAGCCACAAGGTGTGTGTCGTCCTGAGTGTAGGCACGTGGCTGGGGAGCGGTCTGCATGCCTCTGTGCTCACGTTCCTCATCTTCAGGTTGCCCTACTGTGGCCCCAACGAGGTGCACAATTTTTTCTGTGATATCCCCGTGGTGCTTCCTCTGGCCTGTGCCGACATCTCCCTAGCGCAGATGGTGAGTTTCACCAACGTGGGTATGGTTGCACTCCTGTGTTTTCTGCTTATTCTCACTTCCTACACTCGTATTGCTCTGTCTATACTAAAAATCCGCTCCTCAGAAGGCAGGCGCCGTGCCTTCTCCACGTGCAGTGCCCACCTGACCTCCATCCTGCTCTTCTATGGCCCGGTGGTCCTCATTTACCTGCGACCTGCCTCCAGTCCCTGGCTGGATTCTGTGGTTCAGGTACTGAATAATATTGTGACCCCTTCCCTGAATCCTTTGATCTATTCCTTGAGAAACAAAGAGGTCAAGTTGGCTCTGAGGAAGGCACTGAGCCCAGGGCTTCCCACTTGTGGGAGCTGAGCTACCTGTCATGCTGTATCTTGGCCACTCTGCCTGGCATTCATCTGGATGCAAGACTTCTCTCCTATCTGGTGTGCTAACTGTGTGGGCATTGTAGCAAGACATATTATTTACTATTGTATAGTTTATAGGTCTGTATGTTTATGCAACAATGTATTTCTCTAAAGTTCTTAATATTACCATGCCCCATGAACTGTGCTACGAACTTCAGAGACAAATTTTTAATTAGTAGAATATTAATATGAAGCAGCTCATGTGATTCATATTGTGATTAATAACTTGTAAGCACATAATAATTGCTATTTTAATAAGTTGCTAATCTAAGAAGTGAATTTAAAGGTATTAAGCTTTTTATTGCTTGTTCTGTATTGTATGAACTGTACTATAGATATTTGCCTCTCCTGGGAAATTCTTTTCAATTTACAAGGAATCATCTCCAATGTGCCAAAATACTGTATTGCAGTGAGTTTGCTGCATTGGTTCCTACAACTCTTGAGTGAGTTTTGATGGATCTCATAGACTGGCATATAATATTAAGGATTTCTTTTTTGTAGTAGAAGCCAGGTAATATCCATTCATTTATGAAGAGCATAAATCTGTTCACAGGTGGATGTTGTTCTGTATGAAGAATTTTGAACTCAGCAGGAAGAACTGCAGGTTGCTTTCATTCAATCAAGCACAGAATTTTCATTGAAGAATTCCAGAACTTTGTAAAAATAGCATCTATCTCCTGTAAATAGCTCTCAAAACATTTAAGAGACTGCTAAAGTATACACAAGTGACTCAATATTCCTTCTATAAAAATATGGTCAATGTGTACCTTTATCACTCTTCCCATGTTAGTGACAACTTAAACTAGGGTCTGACTCCCTTCTTAACATCATTTCACCTATGCCCTGATTCATCTACACCACTGCGTGTGTCTACATTATCCACCTCTATTGGTATAGATAGACGGATACAGCTGTGATCAGACTTTGAATACTTTTTCTGGTTTTAATAATGTAACAAGGATTTTCAATCACCACAATGTTTTAAGCACCCGCCCTGAAGTGTGGTTCATGATTACTTCATTGAAAGTGTCAAATTTAATAATATTTTGATACATCTTCTGGAATGCATCATCATCACCACAGTCTGCTTCAGAACTATTTTATCGAGACAAATAGAATTGGTGTATCCTTTACCTATCGCCTTCCTATAATTTTATCATGCTCATCATTAAACAAACGCTACTCTATCTTCTGTAGTTGCAAACTGGTCCATTTCAGACATTTCTACACACTGGAATCTTTTTTGTGTTTTACTTTTTTGTTATTACTTTTATTTTATCCAAGTAGGTATAGCGTAGTATCTTATTATCATGTTGATTTGAATTTCCCTGATGATTAATGTTGTCAGATAGCATTTCACTTGGTTCTTGGCTATCTATGCATTTGATTTAGAAAATAAATGTGTGTTGAAATTCTTTGTACATTTTTAATTGGGCTTTTTCATTTTGTCATTGTGTTACCAGAGTTATGTACATGTACCTAGATACTAGCCCCTTGTCAGATGTGTGATGTCTCAATATTCTATCCCATTGTGAATTTTGTTTTACCGAACTGGCAATACATTTCATTCAGAATCATTTTACATTTTTTTTTTTTTCGGAACTGGGGATTGAACTCAGGCCCTTGCACTTGCCAGGGAAGCGCTTATTCCACTAAGCCATATCCCCAGCCCCTGCATTTTACATTTTGATGATGTCCTGCTCATTTATCTTTTCTTTTGTTATTTAAGCTTTTAATGTGGTACCTTGAAACCACTGCCAAGCAGTGGGCATCAAGATTTACTCTTACATTTTCTTCGGGTTCCACAGTTTTGTTCTTACATTAAACTTATGATTTATTTTGGATTAATCTTTATGTGTTGTGTGAGGTACAGGTCCAAATTCATTTTTTTGACTGTTGACATCTAGTTGTGTCAGGCCATCAGTTGAGATTATTTTTTTTTCCCATTGAGTGATTTTGGATTTATAGGTAAGTCTTTTGATTTAGTGCTGTAGTCTCAGTTCCAATCTACTGATCTATATGTGTTCATTTCTTACAGCAGATTATACTGTCTTAATTATCAATGTCTTGTACTAACTTTTGAAATTGGAATGGTGACTTCTACTTTCTGGCTGTTTTTGAAATGATTGCATGAATTTCTGCTATTCTGTATCAATTTTAGAATGAAGCTGTCAATTTCTATGAGGTAGGCTTCTGGGATTATTATAGCGAATACACTGAATCTGTAGATTAATTTGGTATGAATTGCCAACCTAGTAGTAACAAAACTTCTAATCCATGAACATGACATTGTTTTCCATTTTTGTAGGTATTTTTTAATGTTTCCAATAATTTATTGTAGTTTTCAGAATTTATGTTTACAAGTCTTTGACTTCCTTGGTTAGATGTAGCCGTAGCATTTTATTCTTCTGGATGTTATTGTAAACACAATTACTTTCTTTGTTTCCTTACAAGATTTTTAATTGTTAGTATATAGAAGTACAGTTGATTTTTTTTACACATGATCTTAGATTATTGGCATAATAAGATCTTAGTGGATGTTTTAGGATTTTCGGTGTACACAATTCTATCCTTTGTAAATAGAAATAGTTTGCCTGCTTCTTCCTTGGTGCACACATTTTTAAAGCTTTTTTTCTCTCTCTTTTCTTTTTTTGTATTTTAGTACAGAATCTACATGGTCTCACTACACAGGTTGGACTCACAGTGATCCTCCTGTTTATCAGTCTCCCAAGAGCTCGGATTACAGGCACGCGCCACAACGCCCACTCTCACTCACAGTCTTAGCGTGCTGTGAGGGGTGGGGCCGGCATGGCAGGCTGGGTATCAAATCCCTGGCCACTGCGTCGGCCTGCACAGTCGCTTTAATCCGCTAAATTATTAATCTGGCCCTAAAATCTTTATTTCTTGCCTAAATCCTCTTTTGAGAGAATCTTATGCAACATTAAATTGCAATGCTGAGGGCAAATATGTTTGTCTCCTCACCCTGAGGCAAAGATCCAGTATTCTATCCTTAAATGTTCCCTGTGGGATTTTCACTGATACCATTTATTATACTAAAGAAATTCCTTCTACTGCTAGCTTATTGGCTATTTCTATCTGTTAAGGCACTCAACCGTGGGCTCCCTTCCCCCGCACCACTTCCGATGTTCCCAGATGCCCCAACCGCAACTGTGCTGCAAAGATTTAACCGTGACTCCCTGCGCCTGACTGCTTATGTATATAGCTTTGTTTCAGCTCACTTCAGTTCAGGTCCGCTGAGCAGCCTGGCACATGCCAGTTGCCGTCAATAAACTGCTCCTTTCATGCCAGCTAACGTGAGTGTGGTTCTGTGTGGGTTTGAGGGCGCCTTTTTCTTTCTTTTTTTTTTTTTTATTTTTTTTTTTTTTATTTATTTATTTATTTATGAGAGAGAGAGAGAGAGAGAGAGAGAGAGAGAGAGAGAGAGAGAGTGTGGTGTGTGTGTGTGTGTGGCCAGCTCAGTCCACCAGGGGGCGGGGCTGGCCGGCATGTGGTGCTGGGGGATCGAACCGCGGTCCCTGATGCTTTGCTAAGCTTGTTCCAAGTAGGTGCTTTAGACCACTGAGCCATCTCTCCAGCCCCGAGGGCGCCTTTTTCCCGACAGTTTTCCTATCACTATCATAAGAGGATGTCGGTTTTCTGAGCACCCCATGTCGCGGCGGCCCCGTGGCGCGCACCTCCCCTGTCATCCCAGCACTGGGGAGGCTCAAAACAGGAGGATCACTACGAGTCCAAGCTGTAGAGTAAGAGGCTATACCACATACATTTTTTTTAAAGTTAGTTTTATCCAACGTTTTTGTGTTTATTGGGATGATTAAGTGGTTTCTATGCACAAGTGTCTTAATTGTGTTGTATAACAACTGATTTTTAAATGTCAATCAAATTTGAATATCTGGAATACATCTTCACTTTGTGAAGGTGTATAAATCTTTTTACATTTGGAAGATTCACTTCATAATTATTTTGTTGAGGATTATTGTAGCCATACTATTAGGAGATATTTTCTTACAATTTTTTTCTTTTTAGTGATGTCTTGTATTTACATCACAATAATCCTTCTTTGATAGCATAGTTATAAAAATTTTCTCCCTTTTTTGTAATTGGAGAAGAAACTTGAAAAGTATTATGAATACTTTTATATAACTATAGTGAAGACGAGAGCTCTGGGTCTTGTAGGTGATTCTGATGATTACCACTAAACCTGTTTATTTTTTATAGGTGTATTTGATTATTTGCTCTGTAACCAGTTTGTTACCACGTGTATTTTTCAAGAATTTGACAGTTATTCCAAGTGATTTAATTTACTGACATGCAGTTTTTCCTATTCTTCATCTATCTATCTATCATCTATCTATCTATCTATCTATCTATCTATCTATCTATCTATATTTACTTCTGTCTTGTTACTATTTCATTTTTAATTCTAGTAATTCAAGTCTTTGTTTGGCTTTTACTGATCAGTCTAGTTAAAATGGTCTGTTTAACTGTTTCAAATAACTGTTGGTTCCTCTATACAGAATTGATTTTCTGTTCTTGCCTGTTCATTTCTTCTCCAATTTATAAATAGGCACTTTCTATTTTCACCAATTCCATTTTCTTCTAAAGCTGTGATCTCTGACTCTTTTTGGCTCCTACCAAAAGCATTTTCTTTTTCACATGTGTCAACTGTAATACACTATATATAGCTATGGCTTTTATCTACCTGTCCCTAAGTCCTCTTGTGGTCATAGGTGGGTGGACGTGGCTGGATCCATGATGTGTGTGGCTGGGACCAAGAATGTGACACTGGGATTGATGCATGGAGTGGCACTAGGGTTGAGGCTACACCAGCCTGGTTGTGAGGACTACTCATCCTTAGAATGTTAGACATAAAGGACAGAAAGACAGTTACTGCTTGTCACTTGCTTGCTTCTCTCTTCTTGCTGCCCTCTGCCTGCCCTAATTTGCCATGGAGCGCTTCTCCTCTGTGATGTTTCTCAGCCATGTCATCCCACCTTGGAGCTAGTCAGCTGCGGACTGACACCTCCACATGTGACAAATCAACCTTTCATCTTTTAATTTGGGGTGGTGGGTATTTTATCTCAGCAATGAGGAATATAAGTAGGACACAGATAGTTTCTTCTTATTTGTACTGTATGCCTGATAGAAGAATCTCCTTTCTTTTAGAGCTCTGGCTATCCAGCTATGTCTTATATTAGGAAAAACTGGCTCTATGGGCTAGAGAAGGGAACATTGATGGATAAGAATATGTATAGGATGCAATAGGAGAGATGAAAAAAATTGGCAGTGGGGAGAATAATTTTTTTTTCTTCTTTCTTTCTTTCTTCATTGTATTTAGGGAAGGCTGTACAGGGTGTTCAGGGTCTCACTGCTAGATTGGCCTCATGGTGATTCTCTCCTATTTATAACCACCTTAGTGTTGGGATTACAGGCATGCGCCACCATGCCCAGTCTCAATCACTGTCTCAGCACACATTGGAAGTGGGGCTAACACGGTAGGCTTCTCCTTCAATTTACTGTGAATTATTTTTTTAATCAGAAATGAACCTATGCTTAAGACTTTATTATTTCTACACTCATTGGAAAATTTCCCCCGGTTGTGAGATATCATTGCAACAGTAGTTTTATGTTACAGATTTCTATTACATTCACAAGTTTTTAACATCCTTACAGGAATTTTAAAGAGAAAGTTTGTGTAAGACCTGGAACCTCTGCCATCACATCAGGTCATAACCTCCACAAATAGAAATACATTTCTGTAAACATGTTTGTGGAGATTCTCACTTTTGGGCTTATTCCATTTCAGTTTTGGTGGCGACCACACCTGTCTTTTTTCCATAATAGAGTATAATACATGCATCAGTGGAGGGTGGACTTCCAGAATCCAGTCCAGATGTCCTATATGTACACTGTGCACTAAGGAAAATGTAAAGGTCATGAATCTATTTCTTAAAAAACAATATTTTTGTACTTTATCTGCTTTGTTTCCATTTAATCAATGTAATGATCATGATAAATAAAGTGAAATGTACATTAATATATGGTCCAATTTGATTGAAATGTTATTGTGGAGTCCCATGACATCATGTGGCAGATACAGCTTCTCTCATTTGGTGATTCCCAACTTGTGCTACCAATAAAAATTTCAGTCATTTGTCAGTGTTCAACAGTAGAATATTCTTATTTTCATTATTCATAATCATTAGTGCAAGAGCTGATGAACATAAGCACACATGTGTTTTCTTTAGCCAACAGTTTTCGAAAGTTTATATAATTGTTACATGAATGCAAGATGCCTACTTTAGAAACACCTGGACTATGGCATTGTGGTAGTATCACCTCCTCCTCCCCTTGCAGCTTCCAAGATCACACTGTCATTTACTAGTCTTTCCAAACCTGGATTGTCACATACCTTTGCATAAAGCCTTGGATTCCTTCAGTCCTCCCGTGGTTTTCAGCCTGACTCTTCTCCATCTCCACCGTAATCAAAAGCTTTTCCCTATTTTCACCAATATATTCTACCAATTATGCCGATATATTTATATTCTACCAATATATTTATATTATGAATTCTGCACCTTTTCCCAGTATGCAAGCTGTTTTATTCTTATTCTATAACACCTTTTGTCAAGATAGTAGTGATCGATCTTTCTTCTTTCTTTCTTCTTTCTTCTTTCTTTCTTCTTTCTTTCTTTCTTTCTTTCTTTCTTTCTTTCTTTCTTTCTTTCTTTCTTTCTTATTATCTTCAGCATAATGCTTTGGACAAATGAAATAACCCCCCATATGCAGCGAATCTTATTTTATTTATTTATTCTTTCCTGCACACAAAACCAGAGGATAATTCTGACTCCTTCAGAGCTGCATTGGAAGGGCCAGCCAAATATTTCAGCGGATTAAAATGCTTGTTTAGGCAGACTCAGGGGCTGGGGCTGAGAGTTCCATCCCTTGACCTGTTGTGCCAGCCCTGCACCCAAGGCGGGCACACTGAGAAGGTGTTTGAGACTGCGCATGGTGATGTGCGCTTGTAATCCCAGCACATGGGAGGCTGTAAACTCTGGTGGAACTTGTATGACACAGTCTCAGTGCCCTTCCTGTCCTCCTGTCCTCCTGTCCCCTGCCAGGGGTCTGCTGGAAGCTAAAGAAGCAGTCCATCTGAAACTTTTCATGACTAAGAAATAATTTTTGTGCTCTGCTTAGCAATTGAAATTTTGGACTTACTTGCTATCGTGATGTAGTCTATTCTACCCTGATAGATATAACTCTCCTTATATTTTAGTGTAAATTAAGACTAGTAATCCTCATCTTTTCAGAATGTGACTGACAGCTTTGTTAAATATTGAAAAAAATTTCTATCATTCTGAATAACTTAACATTTGTTTCTTGTGAAAATATTGCAGGTAGCAATTAAAATATTAGGCTAGGTACTTGATATTTTGCTCGGCAGTTAAATTGGTACCAGAGACCTCTGATGTTTTTAAATAGCACACAAATTCAGCCATATGAATAAGGGTGACTAATTATGTTACATTTTGGTAGAACACATGCATTTACTGTCTGAAGCTCACACAGAGGGGTGTGTTTGAGATTCTTTAACTCATCACTCTTCTGTAAAGCCTTCTGTCCTGTGGAAGTCCAAGCGGCTCTTCAGTCTGCATTTCACTCAGCTCAGCTTATAGGCATGTGCATAACCATTTTGTATCTGTATATTCAAAATAGTTAGGATAGATACACAGCTACTTTCTCTTAATTCAATGAAAAGAAAGATTTGTACTAATAGTGTTTGTGGACAGGATATCATGTCTGCATCTTGTACAATGAATAACCACTAAGAAGGCAACCACATGCAATGTATTAATTATTACAACTGTCCTACTAATTGGTTTTGAAACTGTGCCATTTATATTTGCTTCTCAAAGAATTATTTTTTAAAAAAGAATCTGGTCACAAACTCTACGATATAATGAAGGAAAGATCTGCTGGAGAATTACTCAGTTATGCAAGAAATAAATATCAATTGTATGAAGCCTATATATATATATATATATAGATAGAGCTCAGTTTTTGCTCTCATTTTTTTTTTTTACTTTGCTTGATTTTCTATATACGTTTTTCCTTTTCTCCTCGACAAAATTTCAGTATACTTGGCATTGATAAATGTAAGAAACACCTGAAAAAAAAACCCATAAATACATGGAAATTAAACAAAAGCCTCCTCAGCAATTCCGTTTTAATTGCTGGTTATAAATAAAAATAGGTAAGTAGAGTCTTCATATTGCATTGGTTGAAATTTTCTGCTTGTTTTACATCATGTAGTCAGTTTTTATGTTTGCCTTCTGATAAATTCTGTGATTTCTTCTCAATATTGTTACATTTTCTAATAACAGCTCCAATTTTAAAAATCTCAGGAAGCTGAGAGGAAAACATCTCTTCTTACCTTAGGGCTCTACCAATAGAGAATGAATCTGTGCTGCCCAGAACTGTCCAGCACGTTGATAAAATGATCGATGTAAATGCCACGAACCAGAGCCTTAAGAAATTGTACAATATCACAGTTTTGATTTTGAATTTTATAAAACTGTTCTTGTAGAAAGACTAGAACTTGGGAACATTTATCTGGTTTGTAGAAATTGAAAAATGTCCTCAAAAATAAATATAATTTTTCATCCCTATAGTATCTCTTTTGCTACCTGGTAGCTTTGGTTGATATTTGTTGCATTAGTTTTGGCTTCACATCTCTCTCTCTCTCTCTCTCTCTCTCTCTCTCTCTCTATATATATATATATATTCTTCATACAACTGGTATTTATTTCTTGCATAACTGAGTAATTCACCAGCGGATCTTTCCTTCATTATATCCTATAGTTTGTTACCAGATTCTTTTTTAAAAAATAATTTTATTGAGAAGCAAATAGAAATGGTGCGGTTTCAAAACCAATTAGTAGGACAGTTGCAATAATTAATACATTGCATGTGGTTGCCTTCTTAGTGGTTATTCATTGTACAAGATGCAGACATGATATCCTATCCACAAACACTGTTAATACAAATCTTTCTATTCATTGAATTAGGAGAAAGTAGCTGTGTATCTATCGTAACTATTTTGAATATATAGATACAAAATGGTCCTTCAATTTATATTTTCTGAAAGGAGCAGGACTGAAAATGACTTGTCTTAGACAAAACTGTCATTTTCTTCTTTCTTTACACACAAAGCCATGAAGCTCTCAGTGTGGTACGTATACTATTTAAACAAAAGTTTCAGGAGGCTTTCTCTCTTTGTGTTGATCCAAGTCCTACTTGTCCTTCCCTTTGTGCTGCTTGTGGCAGTTACTTCACAGAGCCTGTCTGCAGGCAAGGCTCACTTACTGTCTTCTTTCCAATCCTCCTGAGTACCTCCCTCTACTGGAAATGATGTCATCAGGTTTCTTTCAGGTGGTCCTTCCAGACTTGTAAATTAATTGCTTCATTAAAATTGCTGAATTACTCCCCGGTTCCAACAACAGCAACAACAAAAAGAAATGGATATTAAATTAGAGTTTCCTTTTCTTCCTGTATTTTTTAAAACCCAGCTCCAAACTTTATGATCACAGAATTTAAGCAAATATTATAGCAAGCGATTAACCTACTATGGTAACTTGAAAATACTGTGGGAATAGGTGTGGAAGCAGAGCTGTGTTCTCCAAACAGAGTCATGAGGAATAAATCAGCCAAAGAAAGAGACAGTGCTTTAACCAAGGCTAATTCACAGTAAATTGTTAAAATGCTTAAATTAAAGGCTGTGAGCACCTGACAGCCAGATTCTGAGAATTGTTGCTTACATATTTATTTTAGTGACATACTTTTATTTATTTTATAGTCTTTCTTGACATGTTATTAACACATGAAAATTGCATATATTTGGAGATTACATAGAGTTGATTTTTATATGTATTTTGAAGTGATTACTATAATTAAGCTAATTAATCTATAGCTTCCAATATTGATTTTTTATGTGGTGGTGAAACATTTGCATGTACTGATTTAATGGAGTTAAATATACAATACATTTATTTATTTTTATTATACAAAAATTGCATAAAATTTTTTATTTTATTTTTAAAAATTATTTCTTAATAATTAAAAAATTATTATTATTTTATTTTAAAAAATTGTTTCTTTTTACAGAATACACTATCTCATTAGCAATTCCCACAATGGGAAAGTAATTTGTTACTTACAGTTTTACATTTGTGCACCTATCATCCTAGATCAAATAAACATATCATATTCGTGAATGAATTTTGCTTGGAATGGGAAGTATTTTGATTCATCTGAAAGATCTCTTCCCTAAGTGGGTCTCTAAATTCAGAAGCTGTCCTAGCTTTTCTTCCTAGGATTCAGAAATCTGTAATATAAAATGTCAGCATTTCCTAATTTCAAAGTCTCTCTAGGGTGCTGAGTAATTATCATTATCTGGTACCAACTGAACAGTCAAGGACATTTCCAAAGATTAAACACTATCTGATGTTCTGAAAAGTCTTTACTCATGAATTAACAGTCTTTCCCTTTGTCTATTATTCCCCGGAAAAATGTGAAAGTATGGTCATGTATTATCCCCTGGAAAAATATAAATGTATGGCCGTGTATTGATAGTAATAAAGCTAAATTCTCTTTAAAAAATAAATTAAGGCCAGGGAGATGTCTCAATAGAATAAGCCCTTGCCTGGCAAGCACAAGGGCCTGAGTTCAATCCCCGGTTCCACAAATAAATAAATAATAAATTAAAAGGCAGAAACTCATATGTAATGTTTACTTATACTCTGAGTATTGTGAGCTGGGAGGAAGACCCATTAACTCACCAAAATACAGAACTCAGTCTCACTATTTCTTGGATACAATTCCTCTCAAAGGTTTTCTTCAACCTTAAATGCTACAAATGACCACCTCATAGG